GGTCGTACCCGTGGATTTTTAGGCCGCCTTCCTCCTGCAAATTATCCTTTCCCCCCTCCCTCCTCCCCCAATTTGTTCCCTTTCTCTTATCAGAGAACACTCGCTGCTTCGTTAAATAACGAATAATAAGGCGTAACGAAAACCCTCTCCTCTCTTCTCCTCTCCTCGCCGTTATCTTATCTCTTTAACCTGGTGCTCGACCTCTGTCTTCTGGTTTCGAAGTGGTCGAAAAACCATCCGATCCGAATCCAAGTGACGGAACAGGGAATATTATTCCATCGAGCGAGCGATGTTGAGAATATCGGTGTTGCCATTCGGTGTTTTTTTGCCACAGTCGTTAAGATAAAAAGATAATCGTCGTCTCGCGGTTGGAAATTGACGGAGTGGACGCAATATAGTTTTCTAACTATATTAAGTGCTCGAGTTATCGTCCTGTCTCTGCCATAGACTCGTTCAAGCGGGTAGAATCCGTTTCTTACGAAATAACGAGCCGTTCCAAGACACGTAGGAGGGAAACGGTCGTGATGCGCGGCCGCTTACTCGTTATCGCGCACAATGGATCGCACGCTGAGCACCGAAACTACCGTGGCCGAATTAAACCGATCTCGTTCGTGATAGGAATGGATGAGCGAATAGGACAACTTGGGTCGGAGATAAACCAGTCTACACTCGCATTTCGAACGAACGTACGACGCTTGTCCTTTTTTTAAATTATCCTTTTCGAAAGCAAGTTCGAACGAATCGAGTCGCGAATCGGATAGGAAATAGCTCATCGATCCATTCGAATAAGTTTAAGAAACAGTTTAATAAACGGTTCGTAGCCATCGAATGGAAAAATTGTTCGATGGCCACCGTTAGAAGATTATTAATAGGGATGCCCGATGGGAAGCGTGACATCCGAGGTTGGAGAGAGAATGGGGAGCAGTTGGATGGCGGTATTGTGACGCGTACGCGGATCCCTGCGGGACGTCGGAACGGTACCGGGAATCGGCAGGCTCTCTCTCAGTGGGGACCGGTAAATACCACTAATCGCTTCTCGATGCTTTCTAACCCGCTTCGACTCTACCGCTCGAAGAGTTATTGCCGTTGCTTTCATTCAGACCACCTCGGCCAAGGTCTTCTTCTTCCATGCGTCCATCCGTGCGTGCGCGCACGTAAAACTCTTTTCTCCAAAAGATACGAACGATGAATTAAAGTTACTATCCCGCGAGTTTTTAACGATAGAAAATTTGGATATAAAATAGAAACTGGACATTACCAATTTATTATATATCGCAATTATTACATGATCGTTGAAAATCACATTCATCACTCGATAAATCACTCGATAAAAATATGATATACGAATTTTATGTCGACAGAGGAACAGAGAGAGGGAGCTATAAAAATTAAAAAAAAGGAAAGAGAGGAGGAAGAAAGAAGGAAGGAAAGAAGGAAAGAAGAAAAGAAAGAAAGAAAGAAAGAAAGAAAGAAAGAAAGAAAAAAACAAAAGTGACGAACGACAGATGATACTCGGAGACGCGAACGGTTTCACTCGGCACCGATCGTTCTCCACGGGGAGAGGGGAACGGTCTATGCAACGCGTTGACGACGGCGATGGCGGGGAGATGCAACACGGTAACGGACTTGCTTCTCCCTCGAGAATCGATTAATCCTCCTCGATGGTCGCGCGTCGATTATTGGCCCCGTCATCTCGATCGCTGTTCGCCGACGATCGGCTCCGACTCATGCTTCGATCGCGGCTCTTGCTGTGCCTCGACCGCGTCTCCATGTTGCTCTCCTTCTCGCACGTGCACATCCCGTTGTCCTCGGCCGTCAGTTGCTCCACCGGATTACTATTCAGGGCAACTATGTCCCTGGTCCTCTTGGTGCACCTGCATCTCGTGCACGCCATCCGCCTCGTTCTCGTCGTACGGCCCCTCCTCCTCGTCGAACGGCGACGGCGACGACTGCTTCTGCGTCTTCTGCGCCCTCTCCTTCTGCTTCTCCTGCGCCTCCTTCGACGACCTCTTCTCCGCCGACCTCTGCTTCGTCTTCTTCGCCCCCTTCTTCTCGCCTGCTCGGTCGGCATCATGTTCGACGTGAGCTGGGAATCCGGGTCCGTGTTGAGGAAATAGTGGCCGTTGGCCTTCTTCAGGATACCGTAGTCCAAACCGCGTTTCAACGCCGCGTGCATCTGGGCAGGGGGGAAGGAAGAAATTCGGGGATTCGAATTCAATCAATACCGTATCTCTCTCTCTCTAGGATAGATATATCGTTCTTTGATCCAGCCATTCGGAAGCTAGATCGATCGAACCTCGAAAAATATTCTTTTGCTTCGACCAAATTTTTTTCATCGTATCGAACGTATTTTTTTTTTTTTTTAAACGGCGAAAAATTAATCTTTGGGATTCGGATTGTATTTGAAATTTGTTTTTTTTTTTTTTTAAAAAGAAAAAAAGATACGAAGAAGCGAAGCTACCTGTCTGTTCACGGTCGACTCGTGAACGTTGCACTGCGACATGATATAATTCATGATCTCTTTCGACGTGGACCCGTGAGCCTCCCTCAGATTCCTGATGGCGTTAACCACCCTGGACGACATCTTCGGTGTTTGCTTCCCCATTTCTCAATTGCGTCTCCCGCTTTTTTTTCTTTTTTTTTTCAAAGAAACTTTCGACACGATCCCTTCGAATCGGTGAACCGAGAAAGCTTTCAGCTTCCAACTCGTTGATAATGTGCATTTGAGCTTTACGTGTAATTTAGACGAACGCCTTGTAAACGATACGCTTGGATTAGAATTATCACGAGAAAATTTGAAGAAATTATGCCAAAATCATCGTGATCGATTTGCGTCTCGGGAACGATCCGGGTGCCGACTAAACGATTTTGTTTACCGTGGTTTCCGCGTTTCGATTTTTTTTTCCATTCAACGCCAAGCTCCCCACTCGAAAACTATTCCACCACGAAATTGTCTGATTCGCCTCGAACACCATCCCGATCGCTTCGATATCGATGTCCATTTTTTTCTTTTTCCCTCGAGAAAAGAAAAACTCGTTCCTCGGTTATAGCGATTCACAGTTGAAGGAGTATCGAGCTATTACCTCGCCGCGAACCACGGGTTTGTCCGTTTAATAGAGCCGTAAGGGGAAAAAATCGAGTCCGCGGAAGCGTGACAAGATCAAGATTTTCGAAGTGCATCGCTGTTAAACCGAATCACATGGGTGAACTACTAAGGAGAAACGGAAACGCAAAGATAGGGAACGAACGAGAGAAGCGTATCGCAGTGCGTCGTTGTTGACGTTAACGCTGCTTTCACTCGATTCCTCGCTCGCACAAATTCACTCTTCTCTGATCTTTGACGTTTTCTCCCCTCCCCTCCAATATAATCATTCGTAATAATTTCAAGTTTATCCATGTTCTCGATTATTATTCTCGATTATTAATTATCCAGAGTGGGGAGAAGAATTTTTCCACTTTATTCGTTCTCGTCAATTTTGAAATCTCTTAACACGAGGAGATATCGAATCGATGAACCGTGGAGAAACATAGGAAATATAGGAAAAAGCGAAGCGGATCGTCGCAACCCGTCGGCAACATCGATTATAAATTGTTGTTGCAAACACCGGAATACAAGCGGTTGAACAGGGTTATCGAAGCTGGGCCAATTCTCGTGTTACCCGATCGATTTTCGAATTTCTCACCTTCGCTTTCCTCGATCCTCGATTAATCCTCCCCACTCGAGGAGGAGGAGGAGGAGGAAGCGGAACGATCGTTAAGCGATACGATACCTGTGTTAAATTTGGCGATGTTGGATGGTAACGAAGGCAGTTTGCAGCCGGCTCGGTGCCACGCCAAATTTACCGATTAATTTTTTTCCCCCGTGTGTGCTCATTAGCCGCCCTTAATGGTGTCGGCGGCGTTAAAAAAGCCGCGATTCCGAGCTGGTTGGACGGGGGACGCGTGTATCCCGTTCGAGACATCTTGCCACCTCGTCCGGTAATTGGATAGTCGGGGACGCCGCGGTTTACAAGAATAACGCGGCAATTTAGCCGACCATTTAGCCTTATACCAGAACCGATTCCCCGATTCGTTAATCAGCACCAGGTGTCGCCGCGGCGCGCTCCCTCCTGCACACCTGCGCTCCATGTAGATGCTCGCGTCTACGCGCCAATGATTATTTATCAACGTCGCGCTTAGACAAGAGGAACGCTCGTCCCCTCTCCTTCCATTTCGCTACCTTTTTTCAAGCGTCGTCCGATGATCCCGTCTCTCGATAGAAACGTTCAAATCGATATCGTTTACGCGGTATTATTCTTAGAAAATCGATAGCCTTTTTTCGTTTCATCGAGGCATCGATATTATTACGTATCGCTCCGTTCCGTTCCGTTCCATTCGACACTTTTCGTTGTTCCGCGCACACCTGCCTCCAACGTCCACGTCATTTTCCCGCGGAATTCGCCTCTTCCCTCGCGTTCTTTGGGACTCCAGTCTCGATAATTCCAATAATTCCAAGAATTGCAGATATATATCGATCGAGAAATGGATCGGGCATTCGATTCGACTTCGTATCTTCGCAAGAATGGGCGAGTTTATTTTTCGAATTTTAGCCTTATTACACGCATTATACATATTTATAAGCACGTCGAAGAGTGGCGAGTCGGGAGTGTAGCTCGGCTTCTGTTCGGAAAAGCGGAACACGCGCGGCCGTCGACCAATCAACGCCGCCGCGGCCGTGCCGCGCGGTCATCGCAA